ACAACTGAAATGAATTGCCTATCGACAGAGGAGGGAATTTTGTGTGCATTCGATTTCAGTTAGATTTGAAAACAGAATTATCTCTTTCCATGGCTATGTTGCGAATCAGTCATTGATGAATACCAGAGAAATCATTCACAACAAGCAGAATTCAAATCATATGAAGATGAAGCTAAAGCAAGAATGAATGTAATGAAATATATTTCATGCATGAAATTTAACTGTTCCATAAATATAATGTATTTGTAATTCAGTACAGAATACTTCATGTTTAATATATTTTGTAAAATGCGCATAATGTGTTTCCAGGAGATTGAGATTTATTATTTTATGGAAATTTTTCCAGGACTTTTTGAATATTCCATGGAATTCTACTCTATATGAAAAGAAGTAATGACTCGAAATTTCTATCTGATGCTTTTCATAAAAAATGCCACTATAATGATTCTACGTTGAATTCATTATCATCATTCGACTTTCATAGCCTCTAAAAATATGGCAATTGAAGATTAAAAATGTCGAGACAAATCTTCATTTACTACAACAGAAAAGATTTGCCTATAACGAACACGCTTTGCTTCACAGTAAGTTCATGGTATCCAACAGCGCTGAAGATCAAAATTTATATCAAAGCAATAAAAAGCAATCTTTCAGTGCCTGACATGGAATTAGAAACAAAGAGCAGTTCTCGAGATCAATGAGTGTGAAATTAGAAACAAAGAGCAGTTCTCGAGATCAATGAGTGTGATTCTCGACATCAAACCAGATAAGTGTAACTATTCTGGTTGTGATCAGAAATTCAGGTTTTCTCATCAAAAACGTCCTAAGTCGTGATGATGAGAAAATCTTCATATGCGACTATTCAGGATGCAGTAAAAAATTCATGTCGATGAGTAATTACATGTGTAAAGATTACATGAAGAATTTAAACATGTGTAAGATTTTAAAGATTACATGTGTGTACATATTGACTTGTAACTATGTAAGTGTAAATTTCTTGGATGCGGTATGAAATGCAAGAGCCGCAAAGATTTTGTAAGTCACACAACTACTGTATATGAAAATATCAAAACAGACAATAATGGTGCAAAAACTACTACGAAAAATTTTTGAAGCAAAAGTGATGATCATGATGACTAGAGGATAGGATATTTGAATGTGATTACTGAGAATGTAAAAAGGCATTCAAAAGGATGCATCAGCTTAAATGTCACACTATTTTGCACTTGGGAATACATTTTTACAAATGTAATCATTTGGATGTAAGCAAAAATTCAAATCTTTGAACGATAAAAATGACCAAATGCATTTGTTATCTTGTAAAATGTGATCTTAGATTTTTACAAAAACCCTATTCTAGAGCTTGTCCAAAATAGTATAGCATGAATATCTTTTGACGAGAGGTTCTTCATGCTTAAACATCTAATAATAAAAAAGAATACCGTCTCACTTGTCAGAAAGTTATTCATAACGCCTTTTTATAAATTTATCGTAATGAAATACAAAATGCATAATGCTGATTGATACGAAGTGAAAATTATCATTTCTTTTATAGATGAAAACAGCGCTGTTTTCATAGTACTAGACTATGAATAATTAATTTTTATGTTAATGACTTGGAATACTTTTTCGCATTTAAAAAGTTAATTTATTAAATTCAAACTTCGTTTCGTGGAAACAGTAATCAATTGTGAGCAAATATTTTTCACACTTTAATAACTGCTATATTTTGATAATTGTATTCTGATAAGCATTCTAAATGAGATTCTAAATAAATAAAAATAAATTTGTTGAATCTTGTTAAAGAGCGCTTTTCTTTGCAGAAATTTTCCCCTGAATAAACCATTTATAGTAATTTGACAAACATTAAACGGTACTAAATAGATATAATAGCAATACTTGAAAAGTATCAAAACTTCATAATCCATGCACTGCATTGTCCAAGATTGATTCAAAATTTTTGTTTTTCTGAATATAGCAATAGAATGGCAAATTGCAATCGCAACGCTTCACGCTAACTCAAACACTTAATCCTTTCATTTCTAATTGGCTACAGAATTTGTTTAACAAAAAGACAGCAAACATTTTCAATCATAATATATAATTACTCTTTTACTGATTTTTATTGCTAATTCTCTGCAATCGTTTTTCTCCGTCACGATACAATTAGCTTGCTTACACTAAGCTAATTATGCTAATTTGTTTGCTAAACGAAAAACTACCAACCAAAAATTAAGCTTTTCACGCAGTGAAATTTACATGAATTTAGATATGTAATATACTTTACCACGAATCTTTTATATCAGCATGCAATCTCTTGTTCGAAATACATTACTGAAAATATGTGTTACAAACAACAAAGGAATATGGCTCTAAATATTTGATACCTTCATCGAAAAAACTCAAGTTATACTTAAGTTATCTCAAATACATATCACTTCTGAAATAGAATTAAAAATTGGAGTAAAAATTAGTTCAGGGCGTCATATGTAAGAGCAGCAACAGCGGCGCACACCATAAAATTATCGCTAGCAAGTGCAACAATATTCTTAATATCTGTTAGAGCTTTTCTGACCTTCAATCTTCTCATGGTGTACTGCTTTTCATACTTTTACTTTTAATTGCATAACTTTGAAGAGAGTTTGCGTTTCCCAGGTGCAAAATAACCATCAAGTTCGGATATTTTACTTTTAATATTAACAATTCTTCGGCTAATATCCATTTTCACCACATAAGCAAAATATGTTACCTAAAAGCTGCAAATTTTCCAAAGAAAATTTGACTTTCACTGAGAAATAACTTCAATATTCATGGAATTCTTACACATAATTATAAATTAACACGACATATAAATTTACAATCGCAACAATTAACGACTTTACAGTACTGCAATACTTTTATTGTTGTTTTGCACTATTTTATAAAAATAGTACTTGCAATATCGTATAATTACGTTTACAATTTTCATCAATGACTTTCGCTGTCGTCTCAATCCAAGTAATCATGCTTGGCTAGTTTCGCCAGTAAAAATTTCACATATTCTTTTCGAAAATTTTACAAAATTCTCACTTAAAATGAAGAAAACTGTTACGTGCCATTCTCTCACCAGTTTCTGAATTACTATTTTTGATGAACAATTCCTATCTTAATATAAGCAATGACGAAGCGAGATAATAAAATTTTTTGGTATTATTAGAAAATATTCGATAATTCACGTATAGTATTAACTACATGTTTTTTCTTGATAGAAATGCTAAATTTTTTAAAATGGCTGGCATCTTTACAAAATTTTGATGACTATATTAAGAATTTGAAAGTTTTACTTACTAAAGAAAACTTACAATCACGTGAAGAAACAAAAACATTACTTACAGTACCTAATGAAGACGTAATTTTTAAATTTTTACAGGTTTAAAGTTTGCATGAACAGTTAAAATAATTACAGATTTTCACATGATATTTAGATGATCTTTCAAATTATACATTTTTATGCTTCAAAAATTTTTCATTGTGAATATTTAGCTCAAAGACTGTTTTTTTATTACTTATTATTTTTGAGAACAAAACTATTCAATTATGTCAAAATACTTGATACAAAATAGTTAACAGATATAATGAGTAGTTTTAGAGACTAAGGAAATTAACATATGTAATTAATATGATTTTGAGATTTCAGTGATTATACAAAATGGCTTTGTAATCTGTTAACTAATAGGGAAAAAATAGTATTCACTAAAACAAGGAATTAATTAGTTTCAATAGTTGACAAGACTAACAAGCAACAAAAGTAACATATCCCTAAGCAATTTATATCGTTGTGATGACAGTAGCCTAATCGAACTTGCAACTTGTCTAGAATTCCCTGATGAATCGAAGACGCATTGTTTCCATTTGTAACCTGCTTTTGCATCATACAACGTGAGATTCTGTCGACCCGTGAGATAATGACGTACGTAAGGAGAGAACAAATCCGTGATATCATTTTGGGCATCATGCACTTGGGCAATCAATTTTTCATCACCACTGATTAACAGATCAAAAACACATGCATCAAAAAATGCATCCGTTACATTAATTCGGATACATCGTTCTGCAATTTTTTGTTGTTATTAAATTCTTTATTATAATAATAAATTCTTTTATATTACTTATCTTTGCTAAATAGATCGGTACAAAAAGTAGTATTATGAATCAAAAGTAAAAAATGAACAATGTATTTGCTTGCCAATTGCAAGTTTCAGCGGAGTTTTCATACGAATTCCATGACAACGCATAAACGATTTGGGATTCGCTAGAGCTTCTTCCATTTTCACTGCATCATTACGATTACAGCCAGAAGTGCAGATATCGAATTCATCGTCGGTTTGTTCCTTAATTGATGGCTGTTTAAATTATGTTTGTATTTTCTAATTTAGTTGTCAAATTTCAATTTCATAACATTTATATTTCAATTCATTACTGCTATACTTATGTGCACACTTAATTAGATATAGATGCTTCATTTTAAAGAACAATTCTTTTGTCATCGATACATAAATTTCAAATCGAAATCAGAAACCTCCACAACACGTGCTGGTATACGTAAAGAAACTGATAGATATACACCATGGCGTCGAACGTAAATTCTAGTAGCAATGTGTCGGAGCACAATTTCAACATGAGTCTGATTCAAGAATCTAATTTCGACGGCTTTGCGATTCGTATCACCCACGTATTTACTTCCATCCGTAAAAGCATTTGGTAGTCGTTCATCTTCTGAACCAACTTCATACTGCTTACGCGCTGTACAGCGGGCGTTTTCTTTTATGATTATTGTAATCTGTACTCAAAAAATTATTTCTTAATCAGCCATGATTAAATATATCAGAAAAAATTTGCAACTAGAATTCAGAAATATATAAGCTATTTTGAAATTGACTTATTTGTAAAGTAACTATCAAACATATGCACAATGTAAATCCAAATTCACTGTGATAGACCAAATTATCATTTATTAATAATATCAATGCACGAAATATAGAAAATGAAAAATTTTTAAAACTCAGCCTATTAAACAAAAAGTTATCCATTTTGTTATTACTGTTATTAATTCAGAATTCTCAATCCTTTGCTCCCTTTGCTCACTCTAACAACACTTCTTTATAAGGTAATAAGGCTGATATTTGCATGTGTGTACAAAGTTTCATTCAAAAATAATTCACCATATCACAGAGTGAGCAAAGGGAGCAAAGGATAAAAATTATTGTACTCAATTATGGCCTATTCAGTAACCAATTTTCAGTAATAACAGTACAGTAACGAAGTACTATTAATTCACGGTCAGTCATGTATTGTATTCAACTAATCCCAACATGTCTTGCTTGCTAATTTAAATTACTTTTTTAATAATTATTTTTTATAATTGAATCGTCTTCATGACTGTATTTAAGAGTGTCAATTTTTTTTAGATTGCTTACAAAATTTAACGAAATAAGTGAAAGTATATACTAAAACATTGTGCGATAATTTGAATGCTAAGCAATCATCGGTCTTCTCGTAGCAGAAGATCAACTGATGACGATGTTAATTTGAATATTTTGGCATATTGTGAGGGCTTCAAAGTATTGAATAGTGACTTTATTTGTTGTTTCGTAGCATATACTTGTAATAAAGCTTTTACGAACAAAAATCTTTATTCACTTTGACCACAACTATAAATAATTTTGTATGCTAAGAGATCTGTAGTGAAGTCTGTATAAGCTAAAGCTAAAGTGGCAGGCAGCTTTTTTTGTAATTATTGTACAGAGAAGTTACATTGTGTTCCAACTATACAATTGCAATGTTATAAAATTCTGTCTACTATTTAACTACAAATTCTACTTGAACTATTAACCTGTTGCAAGTCATATATTTGATACTTTAGATTATAATTGATAATGTTAAATTAAATAGCTTTTTAAAGTTTCTATAAATATATTCAGTAAATAAGAAAAAGTATAATAACAAATTTGAAAGTTACTGCAAATTCTTATTCTTTTCTTTTTACTAATGATATTAAACAAATTTACCCTGGAGATAGCACTCGTTCCATTTCCCAAATATGCATGAGTAATTTGTACTAATAAATGTTTATTATTCACTAATGAAAATGCCCCATCTCGACCGCATGTTTCAAAACGTCCGTTTAATGTGCGCAAATGTCGAGAACCAAACAATGCACAGTACCGTTGCATAGTATGTGGTGCAGTATCAATTGGAAATATACACCTGAAATAATATTTTTGTTTTTAGGTACATTAAATCGTAAATATCTCTTGCCAATTGTTTACAAGTATATTTTGTGCGATATATCACTAGAAATGCTTATGCCTCTGACCTTTGAAACTGAATAAATTTTGATAAGTTTTGTAAATTAATGAATTTAAAGTACAGTATTTTTTATTGCAGAGCGTTTATTTCATTGCAATTCACTTCAAGTTTTGACTTCCTTGAAAATGAAAGAAAGAAGCATAACTGACCCTGTAGGTGCATAATTACTCGGTTTCATAGTCTCTGGAAATGAATTACACGAAAATTCTTTTCCTTGTCTGTGAAGCAAAGTGTGCAATGTGTGGTACTTCAGATTGCCTCGGCATGTGCGATTTGTTTCCCGAAGACAGTGAATATAATCTGTTATTACCTAAAACAAAAAAAAGTACTGAATGCCAATAAAACCAAATTGCCATTTATTAATACTCACAAGAGCGAAAAAATCACTTCAACTTCAGTGCTAGCAGAGAAATACTCAATCTATCATAGTTATTCGTGAAAAAAAGAGAACTTTCAATAAAAATTAGCTATTTTGGAATAAAAATTGAAAGATTCCTCGCACCTGACAATAAGGTGCATTCATGCCAATAAGAATACCTCCTTCATCTAATCGTTCCGAATAAATACCAGCACAATAATCAACCATACAATTATTTCCTGTAATTTGCATACAATTGACTATAAGCTATCTTAATTTTTCTATATTTCATGAAATTATTATTGTTTTCAAAAATTTATTTTTTTAATATATATATTTTTGGGTCATTCTTGATTTATAAACCCAATCATTCATTCTTGTCAACCTTTTTTATCCCAGTAAAATTAATAATTATCATACTTTTTATGCTAAAAACTTTTGCGATCTCAGTGAAAAGTAATGATAAATCATAATACTCTCAGATGTAAAATATCAATGGTCAATTACTCATTGAACTTCCCCTGATTAAGAATGCTTATATATATTGAAACTGAATAAATTTACGTCAAACCTTGAGGTAGTCGAAATCTAAAAAATTAAAATTTTGTTTGTTTTTGAAAATTAAATAATAGTCTGACCTACAAATACTTGTTAAAAAGAAGATCAAATTTAGAGTATACCTTGACGACATACAACAATTTGTAGTACAGAAAATATAATTAAAAATAATGCGCAAAAATCAGTGATCATGCCACATGATCGCAGACAACTCAAAACACTATCACGACCTCCATGACCTCCTACACCACCACCACACCGACAGTACAGAAAGTGTATAAGAAAAGTATTCAATTCTTTTTGAAAAGGAAATTCAATTTGCAAATTTCTTAACTTTCCCTCTTAGGGCCTGCAAATATTTACAAATTGCGAAGAAGCAATTAAAAGCGTTATGTGGAAACCCACGATGAGTCGTTTAATGCATAATTTTATGGACAAATTTTTTAGTTTTATAGTTCAAAGTTCAAAATATTGTACACATTTATAATTCGTCTAATTTAAAGTTCTATACTGCTTTTTAATAGTGTGCATATGTCTTCTTTAATTATCTACAAGCAACGTGAATACTTGGCATTATTCAAAAATTTGATGATCATTTTAGTTCATAGTTTGTTGGCATTTAATAATGATATGCTAATGTGCAACAAATAGCACTGACGTGAGGACTGACTATTTTTTACTTCTTTTTCAGTATAATAGACGTTTGTTGTTGATCACTGCGAGAGTTGACTAGTTTTCACGCTTACTTTTCTCTTCAGTAAAATTAACACATACTGCAAAGTAAAAGTTAATTGTCTGCAAACGGTTACGTGCTGTCTTATCAAATCAGTACATTTTTGCACTGACAAAAATAAATTTTTGCCATTAAAAGTATTGCAGTCTGTTTGGTATTTTCGCGTGAAGCGAAGAACACAAACAATTTTAATATTACGCAAAAATAAAGGACAACTCATTACTGCTATTTAATTACTGTTATACTGTTAATTAATAGAATTATTATTCTTTATTATTATTATTATTATTATTATTATTATTATTTATCATTATTATTTATTGTTATTATTATTATCATTATTTTCTATCGTTCTTTATTATTATAATTATTATTCTAGTCTTCTTATCAATGCTTAGCCACCAAACTATCCATATTTCAGTGTAGCACAACAGTAATTAACACAAATAATTTTTTGGCTATTTCATTTATTTGTAACTTTTTGAAAGTTCATTACTGTTACTTGTAAAGCTGCTAAAAGTTATTTGAAATGATTAAAAGTTGGATGAAGAAAGAAATGATCAAAAACCTTGATCAACAAAACTGATGTAAAATGTGGCAAAGAATTTTTGGTGGTATTTTGATGCAGTAAAAGTTTTAAGCAAAAATGAAAAAAGTTTAACAATGTGAGATCTCATAGTATCTGAAATAAAAGATATTTTGAGCTGAATATTCAGAATAACTCAAATATTAACACTAACAATAGCACTGATACTAATATTACCAAATACTATCTGTATATACTATCCATACTATCCATTCTATCCATTCAAATAGCTTTGCATTTAAAATTTAATTGTTGACAACTTCTTCAGTTTACTTTCTACAAATGAAAATTCTATAATGCTAAGATCTAATTTTTCTGATTGAAAACGGCAATAAAATAAGCCATCTAATCACTTTTAGCTATGCTAACAAATTTTTGAATGATAATAACAAGATAACTTGGTGAAGTAAGCAAATAAGCCTACCACTGCAAAATTTTTGGATGGAATGGAAGAAAAATGTGAATAGAAAAGAATTGATAGCTAAAAATGAATATTAAAAAAATTGGTTAACAGTAGTCCCATTATTACGAGATTTTTTTATATAATACGAAAGTATTTTAAATTGTTTTCATCACGAAGATCAATAATAATGATAACGATAATAATCATAGTTTTTTAATAATAATGATATTATTATTATTATTAAAAAATTAATGCAAAATAAGCAATAATTGATATTATTTTTTGTTGCAAAATTTTTTGCATTTTTTACTCATGCAAATTCTACATTCTTTTCGGTCTAATCCTACTAATTTAGTAATAAAACTTGAGTAAAAACTAATGATTTAGAAAATTTCCAACAATTCAATTTGAAAAGTTACTAATAGTTTTTGAAATCAATTCGTGCACTAATTTTAGTAATACAAAAACAACCACTAATACTTTTTAAGTAATAATCAAAGATTTAATTACTTTTATAATTTCTGCTGACAATATCAATAAACTATTTGCCTATTAATATGTTTATTTCAGTGATCAGCAAGAAATTAGAAAGGACAAGAAAATGATTTATTAGAATTTATGTGAGAAAGTTGATTATGATAGCAATATTCGTCAATTATTAGCAAGGATATTATAAATGATTGATATCATCGCTGATAATAATAATAATGACTACAATACGTATGATAATGATAAGCCATGACAGTTTTAGCAGTAATGGAGGTTAGTAGCAGTAACAATAAGAATGATAACAATGATAAAATTTAAATGATCACAAAACTGGTAAATAAAATTGAAGTGAATTTTAATGAAAAATGATACGTCTCTCTTCTCTTCTTCACATCCGAAAACTAATGTACCAAAATTGAAATAAAGTATGAAAAAAGCAAATAAAAAAACTTTTTAGAACCCTAAATTTTGTTTTTTTTTCTTTTACTTAACGTAGTTTTTAGCTCAAAATCAATAATACTCAATTTTTATTGAGAATATTTAAAAATTGAAAAATATTAGTTTTTATTTAAAATATGCAAGCAATACTTCAATATCGCACTTACAGTTGAAAAATTAAATAAGTACACCGTATTTTGCTTTTGCTGATAAAAATTCGAATAGCTGAAGTAGTAAAAAGCTGAAATATATTTACAAGATAAAAATTTATAGTACATATAGACTGAAGCACACTTATTTACGTAGATGATAGAATGAGAATATCGCACTCAGCATTAGTAATCACATTCATGATTAATTACAGAAATTAAAATACGGGTATACGTGAATTGATAAATTCCATTCCTTTACAACGTTACTGTGATAATCTCATGAATACAATTCAATATCATTCATCAATCAGCACAGAAAATCTACTTGTTGATTCTTGACTTGAGACTACAAGAGAGAACAATAAAAATAGACATAATTTTTCGTCCACAAAAAAATTTTGATTTTATTTCTTCTTATAAATAACATTAATTTTCTTCATTAAATTTCTAGAGCAATAAATATATCGTATTTGACTCATTCACTTCAATTTCTAAATTATTTAATTAAATTTTTGAATATCTGACAAGCTTTTTCTAATGTTTACAAGTTTCTGCTGCATTTCCATACCATCTTTGTTTTTGCTCGTATTCCTCAGCATTTCCGAACTTACTAATTCAGTAACTTATCGACTACTAATCAGAAAAACTTTTTACTTATTAGAAAACAACTCACTAAGTAAGGCTGAATCTGTATTTGAATTGAAGTAAGTGAAAAAAAAGCACTCAAAATCTTGATTTTTGGGATCGAGAAATTTTTTTTGTTGAATATTCACATTTAATAAATTAACACTAACAAATACGCTTCTTTGTTTATACTTACTTTATTTGAAATAAACTTTAAATCTTTACTTAGTTGTCATTTAAATAATATTGCTGTGTCATTTATTGAAAAATTAATAATTTTTCAATTTAATTCGGAATAACTGCTTTGTAAGTTACTTTTCTTTTTTTTCTGTTTACGTCGTATATATGACGTGATCCTTTATGGAAAAATTTTGAATAAGTCCATAAAAGTTTGTATCTTGTATGCCATTATGATGGAAAGTAATTATAAGAAAATTAAATTAAATTATTAATACAGTGATTGCCAAACAATGACCTTATGACCTCTTTGAAACTTTCTTAGGAATAAAGTTGATATCTTCTTCAACTGCAAATATTTGACAAAGATGAACAGACCGACTGGCGATTGAATCGGAAAAAATTCTTACACTTCCCTATGCATTCCTTCATTTTCTACATAAAATATTATGCATTACTTTATAATATAAAAAATGAAAACATTATCATTACAGAATGACAATAACAACAATCAACCCTTCAATTTGCCCACTATTAATTATGCATACTTTTCTTATTTCTATTTAAGCACAGTTCGATGCAAAATAATTTGAAACGTTGCTAATGATGCAAAAAAAATTAAAAGTGTCAATTTTCTTTATAAAGTAAATTAGGCAGAGACAAACCAGGTAGAGAACTGGATAATACTTAGTAAGTACTGATATAAAGTTTAACCTAAAATTGCTATCAAGTTAGTCATCAGCAAAATCAGAATTGATTTGATATAAAATAGTGATAAAAAATTATATAATCAGTATCATTCCTTGAGTATTGCAACAATTTTTATCATTGACAATTAAGTTGGCAATGATAGTAATAATAGATGATAAGGATAATGGTAATGTAATATTCACTTGACAAATTATAATCTGATTGAGTAGTACGGAGAATATTTGATGATTTATTTACCTATAATAAAAGTAAGTAATAAATTCTGCCTTATAAAGTGATAAAAGTAATCAACTATGATTGACTTATAAGTAATGATTGTAATTTTATTTCAGTATTAAATAATAGCAGAAACAAATT